CAGGCTCATGCCGCGCTGGCCGGCTGCGCCTGGTCCCACCTCCGGTTTTCTTGACTCTGTCCTGATACCGGACCCAGGTGGGTAAGGGAGGAGTGATTACAGTGGGTTCTGTGAAAGTTTGTAACCACTGTTAACTATTCACGCGCAAGTCGGCGGCCATGTGCCCGCTATGTTGTGGCGCACATGGTGGACATCTTCGGAATCGACGATCGAAATCTTTGATCGCCAGTAAGACATTTTTCGTGACAGAGGAAGAATTGGTCTTATAACTCCGAGTCTTGCTAGTCTGGAGTTGCATAAAGTTGACTAATGACGCCAGTGAGCGAAAGGTCATCCTCCCAGTCACCCGAGTATTTGTCAGCACTATTTATTAATCAATGTTGACATTATTTTTCGACCTCCGGCTTACGTTGGGGCTTGTTGTTGGAACCTAAACAGCTGTCAGACATGCCGCGCCAACCTATCTTCACCTGTGGCACTATATTTCCCATATAATCCTTCAGAGTTATGCCTGATTTCGATTAATTACTTATCGCTCCATTTATTTTAACTTTCTTACTGCCGAATCTTACCACTCTCTCTGCCTTCCCCTTGACCGGTGCCAGTAGTTGAAGGCTACCAGTTTATGTCTGTAACGCTAATACTTATGTTCTTTAATAATGCAACTGACTCCCTTGTCTTTCTCCAGAGTGGACTAAATACCGGATTTCATGATTCCGAGGCCCTACTCGGACACGAGGAAGGATTGTCGATGGTCGCTGATGAGGAGAATGAAAGAGACGCCTCAACACGACATTCATCTGGCAACACGCACAGTGAGCCACCTCCGCCCACTCCTACAGGCCCTCCACCCTCTCCACCGGGGTAGGTTTTTTAGTCTACAAGATAGTTGACAAGTCTCGCACCCTAACTTTTTAACAGAATATATCTCGTTTGGTAACATAGACCGACTAATAGCATTCTTTGCTGTGCAAAGGGGTTGCCTTTCTTCCGCACATGTTTTGTGCCCCATTTACCCAGTGTCACGATGGACATATATTACTTTTCTTCGTTGCCTACATTTCAAATCAAAATTAAACGGGTATCTCTGCATCGAACAGTAGGAAATCTGTAGGATTTTCTTTCTGACGCCATACCTAGCGTTTTGGCTGGCACAGAAGTTGGGGTATGCTACCCACAGGACACTATCCCATAAACTGTAGTTTTGGCTGTTGATTCACCTTACTGGCCGAAACGTGATGTAGCTCCCAACTGCAGTATCTAACAACACCCAATCCCACCGTTGGTATTCTAGGCTCTGTCTTGACACCGGGAAGAGAGAGAGAGGTAGATGCTATGCAAAAGGACTATCACATAAAACTAATTCGCGCGCAAGTCATCGCGCTTGCTCTTCCCCTGCCGTGAAGCTCACGGTGAACATAGTCGAGACACGACGGTCGAACTGTCGTTTAAAAACAATGCGGTTTGGGTTTATTGCAGCATAAAGCTTTCCTTCTTGATTATTTTTGCAGGCTGCTTCGCATTTTCTCACTGCGCGTCTACTTAAATTTAAGTGAGAACTATAACATGGTGATTTGATCTTTGCCTCATATGAGGATCTTCTTGCGTGCTTTGGAGCATTTTCCATAAGAATTTGGTTGCTCAGTGCTCACTTTATAAGATAATCTTAAATACCTACTCGATTATGTTTGTACAGACCTGGGGTCGGCCGAGGTGGTTAGGTCTGAGCTGACTGTCAGCTGGCAAACTAGTTGAACGTTTAAGGCGGAGTAACCGCATATGGGCGTGGTTGTACATCAGACCCGTTTTCCCGACTGTTTGTTATTGTTTGTTGTTTATTGTCCATCAGCATGTTACACCCCCGATTTAGGTAACAACCGAAGTCGGTTAATCCGTTTACTATAGGGGCTGGTTTCATTAGGCATACGGCGCCGCTAAGTGACGTATGTCCCAAGGTCGGATCAGTTAAAACCCTTGACTTCTCTAGTATAACAGAAGCTCTAAAAGGTGGGACCCCACCCCGGTGTCATAATTCTAATAATTCGGTAAAAGAAGTTCTTTGGGAAAGGAGTACTTTAATGTGTGAATTTTCGACTCTGGTTCTCCAGGTCGTCGTCAGACAGCATGAGAGTTATACAAAAACAGCTAACTCAACACATCGTGTTGAGTTAGCTGTTTTTGCATAACTCTCATGCTGTCTGACGACGACCTGGAGAACCAGAGTCGAAAATTCACACATTAAAGTACTCCTTTCCCAAAGAACTTC